GATAAAGCTGGTCTAAGATGTTTACCACGCCATGAATTAGAACCAGACATCGAGCTTGGAGATTTAGAGGTACAAAATGAATTTTCTAGTGCTCTTTCTGTTATATATTGTAATGGCTATGAGGATGGTATTTTCTTTTTGACACTTCATAGTTTTCTTTCTATCTTAAATTGATCTCTTCGGCAGAGACAACTTGCTGATCACGAGCATGAGGTACTGGAAATGAATTCTAACAGTGAAAAGCTTCGGCAGACATATAACGAACTTCTTGAATTCAAGATAGTTCTTCAAAAGGTAGGTGTCTTCGTCTTTATATCTAGTTATAGGAAAGCGTTTCTTTATTCTGGTTTCTTCCCTCCAAACTACCTGTAGATTTCTTGATCACTGGACAAAGTTATATTCTGCTCTATTGCTCAGTTTTAAAATTTTTGTTTCGTAAGATCTGCGCTCATCTTCCTCTGTTTATGCTTTATGCCTACTTGTTCATGTATTGCTGCTTTACTTCTGTATAGGCAAGTGGTTTCCTTGCCTCAAGTAATGCTCATGCAATTGGAGATGAAACAGAACTGCATGAAGGCACCTACTCTAATAACGGTTTTATTGAGAGTTCCTCTTTGCTAGAGCAGGTGATTGCATGCCAAAGTTTCCATTTTACTGCTGTTATCCGGAAAATCAAAGTTATCTTTTCTAAAGTTTTAGTTATTTTCTTCTCAGGAAATGAGGCATGAACCCTTGAATCAATCAGGACTGAGATTTATTAGTGGAATCATTAACAAAGACAAACTTCTGAAGTTTGAAAGAATGTTGTTTCGTGCAACAAGAGGCAATATGCTTTTCAACCAAACACCCTCCGATGAGGGGATCATGGATCCTTCAACATCAGAAATGGTGATACTGATCTCTTGTTTCCTCACACAGCATATTGTCTTTATCTCCACTAATCAGTAAGATGCTTATAACTAACTGGTTTTGTGCTCATAGGTGGAGAAAACTGTATTTGTGGTTTTCTTTTCTGGGGAGCAAGCAAGGACAAAAATATTGAAAATATGTGAAGCATTTGGTGCAAATTGCTACCCTGTCCCCGAGGATACAACAAAGCAGAGGCAGCTTACGAGAGAAGTGAGTTGGATATCCAAAACTTGTTCTTTTATGTGTATTCAGGGAGAGCTATTCCAAGATATTTGTATGCGATCAGTAGCGCTAGTGACTGTTAGTTACTGCATCGCACTATAATATCGTACATCTGGTGTATAGGTTTTATCCCGACTCTCTGATCTGGAGGCCACGCTAGATGCTGGAACTCGCCATAGGAATAATGCTCTCAATGCAGTTGGTTACAGCTTGACAAAATGGATGACCACGGTAAAAAAAAAGCATCTGCAGTTAGTTTTTATATAAATATTTTCTGGTTAGGTGTAGGGGAGATTGTATGGTCCATAGAGTATGGAACAGTCATGATTTCAGCTACCCTTTTGCTGCTAGGTACGGAGAGAAAAAGCTGTTTATGATACTCTGAACATGCTAAATTTTGATGTAACCAAGAAATGCCTTGTTGGCGAAGGTTGGTGCCCCACATTTGCGAAGACCCAGGTATACTACAATGTTTTGTTCCATTATTAAACCAGTTTTATAGACTTGCAAATTTTCAATCTATTATCAACAACGTGTGTGCAGATTCACGAGGTCCTTCAGCGAGCCACTTTTGACAGCAATTCACAAGTGGGCGTTATATTTCATGTAATGCAAGCGGTAGAATCACCTCCCACCTATTTCAGAACGAACAAACTTACTAATGCGTTCCAGGAGATTATCGATGCTTACGGGTTAGTTCCACTAGTGAGCAATACCTGGCACTATCGTAATGTTTTCGTAATGTTCCACGAGCCTGAAAAACCCTCATCATTTAGATGCATGTGTTTGGCTCGTGTTACCCTCATCACCCAAACATGAGTTTAGAAGAATAAATGGCTGCTTTCTAACAATATCTAAACTTTATTTTTCTGTATCTAATGAAGATTTAACCATTGACTTCATGCTTAATTGGCAGTGTTGCAAGATATCAAGAGGCAAACCCGGCAGTTTATTCAGTTGTCACATATCCCTTTTTGTTTGCTGTTATGTTTGGCGATTGGGGCCATGGTCTATGCTTGCTGCTAGGAGCGTTGTATCTTCTTGCTCGTGAAAGGAAGCTGAGTACGCAGGTATGGCTGGCACCCAATTTTGATGTACTAGTTGAATGAGAACTAATGGTACTGGCTTTGAGCATGAGATAACACACATAACATACAATTTTGTTTTGGTTTTGTTAGTTTCTGATAGAGATTGTGTACCTTTCACTGTCTATATTTACAGAAACTCGGAAGTTTTATGGAGATGCTCTTTGGAGGCCGCTATGTAATTTTTCTAATGGCACTTTTCTCAATATATTGTGGGCTTATATACAATGAGTTCTTTTCTGTTCCTTTCCACATCTTTGGTGGTTCAGCTTACAAATGCAGAGATACTACTTGTAGGTATGTATTATGGTTCAATCTTTATCTCTTTAGTGAGGAGACATGTCTTTTATTATTATTCTACTTGTTGCTGATAAGCATATTACTTTTTGTTCAGTGATGCTTACACGGTTGGTTTAATCAAATACCGTGATCCGTACCCTTTTGGCGTTGATCCTAGTTGGCGTGGAAGTCGTACAGAACTGCCTTACCTAAACTCGCTTAAGATGAAGATGTCTATTCTGCTGGGAATTGCTCAGATGAATCTGGGACTAATATTAAGTTTCTTCAATGCTCGCTTCTTCGGCTCCTCATTGGACATTAGGTTTGTCCTTCTATATATTTTTATCTTCCTAAGCTTATAAATTCTTTCAGGGGTGACTTATGTCCTTTGTGATGTGTCATCAGGTATCAGTTTATCCCCCAGATGATATTTCTCAACAGCCTATTCGGTTACCTTTCACTTCTGATCATCATCAAGTGGTGCACTGGATCCCAAGCAGACTTGTATCATGTGATGATCTACATGTTTCTAAGTCCCACCGAAGAACTTGGTGAGAACGAGTTGTTCTGGGGCCAGCGTCCACTCCAGGCACGATTTCCCCTTTCTTTATATCCAAAAGTTACATAAGTTCTTACCTCATCCTTACTCATCATGGCACTATTCTGCAGATTTTGTTATTGCTTATGGCTTTCATTGCCGTTCCATGGATGCTTTTTCCAAAACCTTTTGCACTCAGGAAAATTCACATGGAGGTATATCTCGCATCTGTTTGATTTACTTTACTATGTTTTTATGTGGTGTCTGACTTATCAAGGGATGATTATTTTGTCTATAGAGGTTTCAAGGTCGAACATACGGCGTTCTTGGTACTTCTGAGGTGGATCTCGATGTGGAACCAGACTCAGCTAGAGGGCATCAGGAAGAAGAGTTTAACTTTAGCGAGATTTTTGTACATCAATTGATTCACTCCATAGAGTTTGTTCTAGGTTCAGTTTCTAACACAGCATCTTACCTTCGTCTCTGGGCACTTAGGTAAATCTTATTGTCTCTTTACATATCACCAATTAATCATACATTTCTATTTGTTCCTAATATAGTCTTTGAGTTTTACAGTTTGGCTCACTCGGAATTGTCGACGGTCTTCTATGAGAAAGTTCTTCTTCTTGCATGGGGGTGAGTTAGTATAAGGCTTAGTTACATGTTTTAAAAACTTATTTTCACACTTGTTCTATTTCTTGACATTTATTTGTTACATTTTTGGATTATTAACAGGTATGAGAACATTTTGATACGGTTAATCGGAGTAGTGGTGTTTGCGTTTGCAACAGCGTTTATACTTCTGATGATGGAAACACTAAGTGCGTTTCTGCATGCGTTGCGACTTCACTGGGTGGAATTCATGGGGAAGTTCTTCCATGGAGATGGGTACAAGTTCAAGCCTTTCTCTTTTGCTTTAATATCAGATGACGATGAATAAATTCAACCCTAAACTCCGCCTCCGCCATTTGCACATCCCACTCTTCGTTCACCTAAAGAAAAAGATTATACGGTAACATATCCAGTTGCTTCGTCTTTTCAGAAATTTTTTTTAACAGAAATCTTTCGAAATTGGTTATTTGTAGTTAATGTCAAAGGTGGAGAATGTTTTGTGTTTCCCCCTAAAAGCAGAGAACAAGTTTAGATTACTTTTTGAGTTTCTTATATATATATACATATCCCTGTCATGGATTTTTGGAGGTGAGAGATAAAGGAGAAGTTTATGTTTGGTAAATAAAAAACTTGCATGAATCTTTTTATCATATATAGTAATGGTAATGATTTAGTATTTGTCTCGTCTCGTGTCGTCTAATGTAATGACGTCAAGGGTTGTAGTCTTGTAGATAAGTAGTACAATTGAAAATGGGATTCACATGATAACGAACGTATTCATGAGATCCTAGTGAATTTTATTTGTGATTATAAGAAGTGTTTAAATAACCTGATCATAATGGTTTTGATTGATGATACATCAAAATCAAGGTAATCATTAATTGAGGGTTCTGTTGATTAATGGATTGGTTTGCAGCTGACCGCCATAGAAAGTGATGGATTTTTCGGAAAGCATTTGGACTGAACATGGACTTTTTGAGTATTATATGCAACGGTAATCTTTAATTAACTGCAAGTGGTGTGGAACCTTAGATAAATGATATTAATATTTTTAATAAAGAAACTTATCCAAAAATTGAATCAGTTCAGGAGAAAAATAAACCAAGTTGTATATATCCAAAGTAAACCAAAAGAAAAACCAGGCTTAAACCACACTATCGCTAAATTTGATTATATTAGTATTTAATTAATAATTAGCATAAACCGTTTATTCAGTCAAAGGTTTAATAAACCAAATGAATTCAATTGGAAAAACCTGGAAGCCTACTTTTAAGATGAAAAAATTAAATAGCCGTCGAAAAATAAAAAAAGGTATGCTTCTTTATTATCTGCTTCTTCTCTCCTCTCCTTTCTCTCTCAGAATTAAATTTTTGTAATCTTTTGAAAAAACACCAGCCATTGGCCCTAAAGGTTTAGCCACTAAAAACAAACGTTCATCGCACAAAATCTTCTTCGCCTTCGATTCTCCGCGAATCTCATTTCCTTCCGTCACCACCGTTAGTCTCCTCTCTCTCTCCCTCTCCCTCTCTCTCTCTCTCCATCGAATTCGAAAGCGTGTGTCTCAAACCCTAACGTCGCAATTAGGGTTTTTGTTTCGTTGATTCCGACTACCATTTTCTCGATCTGTTTAACCATTTCCTACTCCTTTTGAGTGGTAAAGGCTTTGCATTGCGAATAATCTTTGAAATTAAGAGATTTTACAGTTTCTCCCTTTACTTGACAAACCTTAATTTGTATTCAGTGTCTTTGGAAGGTTATGGGATAATGTTGTGATCTAATAATTGTGGTTTTTGTTTTGTTTTTATATTTAAATGATTTTAGGTAAAAGATGAATGACAAAGGAGAAAAGACTTGTCCTTTATGTGCTGAGGAGATGGACTTGACTGATCAGCATCTCAACCCTTGCAAATGTGGTTACCAGGTTCGTTCCTACTACACTTCCTCTTGTTTGAGCAGAATGTTTGTTTTGGGTTCTTGTTACTTGTCTGAAACCAAGTTCTAGTTGGTATGGTAAAACCAAAGAGTCATTTTGAAGAATCTGAGTTTCTGTTAGTTTTGTATGCCTCTAATGTTCTGCTGAAAGAGGATAATATGATATGTTGTCTTGAGAATCTAGGGTTAAGACTTACATGAACCCGTCTTTTATCTTGATTTATGTTCTGAATATTTGTGCTTGGTGCAGATATGTGTTTGGTGTTGGAATCATATTATAGAGATGGCCGAGAAAGATAAGACAGACGGTCGCTGTCCTGCATGTCGAACACCTTATGATAAGGAAAAGATTGTTGGAACCACAGATAGCTGTGAAAGGTACATCTTAACCTGAAAAACAAAAAAACAAATATTCTTGTTCTTTTTAAACGTGTGAAGACTAATCCTTTTTTGTTCTGATGATGATTCACCAGGTTGGTTGCTGAACTTAACAATGACCGGAAAAAAACACAGAAGGCCAAGCCTAAAGCTTCTTCAGAGGGAAGGAAAGACCTAACTGGTGTGAGAGTCATCCAAAGAAACTTGGTTTATGTTATGAGCTTGCCTTTCGATCTGGCTGATGAAGATGTAATTCTACGACCCAAACTTTTATCCTTTATTTTTTTCTGGAAAGAAATCTCATTAATCTGAGCTTTATTATGCAATGCAGCGTTTTCAGAGGAGAGAATACTTTGGTCAATATGGGAAAGTCGTGAAGGTAGCAATGTCTCGAACGCAAGCAGGGGATATCCAACTATTTCCAAACGATTCCTGCAGTGTGTATGTCTCCCTATTTCCTTACACATTTCGTTAATGGTATCTAGTTTAGCAGAGTTCTCTTTCTCTTTGAGGTCGGTTAGACAACGTTTACTTCTTACCATCTTCATTGAACTAACGTTCCCTTACTTTTTTGTCTCCAAAATCGATTTCTCCCAGATATATTACTTACTCCAGGGAAGAGGAAGCAATTCGATGTATACGATCAGTACATAAATTTGTTTTGGATGGTAGAACCTTGAAGTATGTGATCTTTAATTTTCTTAAAGATTAGTTACGGTAGGCTGCAGTTCAGTTTCTGATAATTTATTGGTGTCAATAGGGCATGTTTTGGGACCATGAAGTACTGTCATGCATGGTTAAGAAACATGGTAAGTAGATACTCTCTTGCGCCCCCACTTGTTCTCTGTAAAAGCTTGCATACAATCTAACTCTGTCGTCATGTCTTTTTTTTGCAGCCTTGTAACAATGCAGACTGCCTTTATTTGCATGAGATCGGTGCCCAAGAGGATAGTTTCTCAAAAGATGAGACCATATCAGAGCACATGAGGTAAACTAACGTCAATTATCCTGAAACTGTTTTGCTGTTTCAGTTAAGCTCCACTGATTGTGGTTGTTTTCTTGTTTTTGTTTGATGCTGCTGGTGATATTTTTTAGTGAAGTATATTTTAATTAACCTTACTAGATTCAGATATTAACTTGTTCACTATCTGGTTTTTTCTTACCTTTCACCCTTTATTGAGGCTGACAGGATTTGATTTTGCATCAGTATGGTCTATATGTTGTCTGATTCTTTTGTTATTTGGAAAGGAAAATTATTGAAGAAATTACTGGAGCGGTGGCTAATTTCCCGCGGCGTTCAGGAAATATGTTACCTCCACCAGTGTATGATAATGACTCTAGCACACGACAGATTCCAAAATGTGTTCCGAATGTAAGTTGCCAGCTCTTCTTGGAGTCTCTTGATATTTTTTTCTGCTGTCAGCATATTCATGATGCGTTTATGTATATATTCTGCGTTTTTTTTCCTTTGCAGAATCCACAGAGTGTGGTTAAAACTTCTCGACCAAATAGTAGCAACGGCCGATCTGTTACTCTTCCGGCTGGAGCCTTGTGGTACACTGATATCCCCTGTGTAGATTTTTTTTGTTAATTGTGTGCCTGCTTTATTTGTAACTTGTAACTGTTTTTTCAGGGGAATGCATGCTTCAAGCCATTCTTCTGTACCGAATACACCATGCTCTGGGGAACCCTTAAGAGACAAAGGAGTCACAGATGATAATCATACTTCATATGGGAATTCCTTGAAACTGCTAGAACCATTGAATAGCCAGACTGATTTTCCAGAGCTTTCCTTGGTTAATAGGCCCCAGACCAGTAATAGTAAGGCATTAGTTTCTGCAAATGTGGATAATAGTAGAGTTGTTAGTGTGCCATCTGCTTGCAAAGATTTTCGAGAGCCTACTCCTCAGTCAGGTGGATCCATCCTGTCCAATGGAGACAAAAATATTAGTAGAGGTATACAGAGTGTCCCCAGCGACGCTGTGTCAGTGGATTCAGATAGTGTTGTGGATGGCTATGGGAGGCTAAGAAGGTCTGACAGTTTGGATGTTGATCGATCGTCTCATACAGAAGTGTCCGGAGACTCTCTACAGCATTTCGTAGATGAAACAAGAGATTTCCGCCCATTAAAGAAGACTGGTCTAACGAACACAAATGAAGTCGTTGTCCCAAGAGAAGAAGTCAATGCAGGCAGTGCTTTGATGTCTCCATTGGTGACAGATATATCATCTTTCATTAGAGAAAGACTCAAGGATCCTGAAGTTTTTAGCTGTCAGCCCAATAAATCGGGTTTGCTACGCACAATGCAGCCTTCTTCATCCCAGTATAATCATGATGAAACTAGGAGTCTGTTTGGGTCTTCCTCGGCTGAAAGCAGAGGAACTAATGTAGCTTCCATCTCACATGGATATAACGAGATACTACAGAGCGAGCCCAGTCGTTTAAATGGCAGTCTTAATCATTCTATGGGTTTTCTTGACAGAGCAAGGGACACACAATCAAATGGAAACTGTGACGTTGACTCAAGTGAAGTAGATGACAGGATTGCAAATATATTGTCGTTAGATCTTGATGAGTACTTGACATCACCTCATAACTTGTCGAAGCAACTAGTGGCAGGCGACTTAGAGGCCAGGTCTCGTAAGCTAGTTAGTTCCAGCGAAGTTCAGAACAATCAATCCCGGTTCTCATTTGCAAGGCAAAATGAATCAAAGGATCAAGCTTTTGGTTCTTATAACGTCTTCAACCAGATGCCACATGGCAGTGACTTGTACAAAAATTCTTCAGAACGACAGAGTTCTGATTTGGATATGCTTGGGATGTACAATGGTATTTCATCCAGTTATCTCAAAGGAATGGATTATGTCACGCAAAACTCCACTTTGCCCTCGTCTTATAGACCTCCTTGTGAGTGTGATTTCTCATTCTCTACCCCCAAGCTTTTATGTGTTTATATTATGCTTTTACTTCATGTTTATGATACAAATTTGGGAGCAGTATACTAAATATACACAAATGTGTATCAGTTTTCTTATGGTGGACCAAACTGGTTATTTCTGGTTGATGGTCATCGGAATGTTAGATGTTGATAATGACGAATATACAGCTCTTTTATGGCATATATCCACAAGTTGGGTGATGCTTTTCTTGGTTGTGGAGATATTATGATTCCATGATATTATTGATCATTTGGGTGAAACTTGTTTTTTTGTCTAGTAGCTGTTCCAAGATGTCCGGTCACAAAACCATTAGGATTTTCAGTTGCAAGTCGACCTCCTCCTCCAGGCTTCACGTCAAATGGGCGAGAACAGCAGACATTTAATGGATTTTCAGGTAGTTTATATATACATGTTGAAGTTCCCCTCTTATTGTTTTGATACGTTGCTCTTTAAAAAAAATTGAAAGTCTGTTGCTTATTTTAGGAAACCATCGTTATTCTGATTCACCAGTGCACATAAACCCATATCATCAATCACTTCCAACTGAAAACAATAGTGGTGTCAGAGACGTGGTTCAGTTTATGGATCCTGCGATAATGGCTGTAGGTCAGGGCTTTGAGAACCCAAGCCTAGATTACCGATCGAACTTTCAAGGAAACACAAACATTTTTGCAAACGAGGCAAAGTTTCAACAACAACAGGCAATGCAGAGTCCTTTGTCTTCGCATCAAAATTGTAGAGGCACTGACTCTTTGGGAATGGCATCAAGGTTTACAGATCATTCTGAAGGGAGTAGTAACATACTATCTAGGAACATGGCCTTGCCTAATGGCCAGTGGGATGGGTTGAGTAACGAGATCCAAAGTCTAAACAGGCTCCAGAATGAGAGATTTATTGGGTCAACAAATCGGATGAATGGTTACAATGGGACTTTCAGGATTTAAACACCATATGTCAGAATCAGTCAGTTAGGCATCACTGGTCTGGTCTAGGAACTGCGCTTAGATCGCCTTGACTTTGTGTCATAGCTTCTTGTTACTTAGAAACAGAGGTGGTTGTAAAAAAACTTTAGGATTCTTTTCTTGGTTTATTATGCATATTTCATCTTCAACATTTTATTTGGTTTGTCAAATATGATTATCAATTATGATGCTACATAGGATTTTAACTTCAGTTGATTCCTCTTAAGAAGATTTTGTTAACACAATTTCAACTTGTAATTTAAAACCATTAGTTGACTATCATAACATGAGGTCTATCGAAAAAAATAATTAGTTCAAGTGTATCATCCACAAAACAAACGGCTGATAAGAAAGAAAGGTTGCATTGTATTATTATCACAAGATTAATAAACACCAAAGAGCTTCTTCGATTCTTGAGAGAGAAATATATTACCACTCAGTCATGCTCCCTCATCTCCCGGATCTTCTCCTGCATGGCATTGGCCCTCCACTCAAGCATATAAGTTCTGACCTTCTTGTTGATCTCGTCGGCAAACTCAATAAAAGGAGCTACAATACACAATTAAAGACAAAAAGTCATGAGAAGTTCAACCTTGAAAATAAAGAATATCAAGAATCGGATTTTAGGTACCTGGGATACTATGGCCCAGAGACTCAGTATCACGGGTCACGGGGACGGATATTTCTGGCAATGCGCAGGGTAATTATTTTGAATCCGCCCACTACACTTCCATTAAGAGCCAGTGCACTAGCTTCTCCTTCTTCTTTGGAAAAATAAATATTAGTTCTCTTGTCGAGAGGACAAACGGAAACATGTGTTATCTCTCCACAACAAGAGAAATGTGCTCTCAACTTGCTCTCGATCACATCTTCAGGAAGGCTAGTGTCATACCCCAAAACGGCAATGCCAAAAAAACTGCAGAGTAATTTGTTGCATGGCTACTATATCAACAACACAACATTTTTTAACAGATGCAAAAAAAAAAAAAAAAAAAAAAAATATCAACTTACAATCTTTT